ATGAAGAACCATGTTGTAAATCTTGCAAACAAGGCAGCCAGGAAGCTTACAGCACTTCGCCGTATCTCGCATCTGCTTGACAGTAGGGGTTGCAAGATCCTGTACGAGGCACAAGTACGTGAGCTCACACCTTGAGTATGCTCCACTTTCTTGGTTTGCCTGCCCCCCCCCCTCTCATCTGCGACTGCTTGACAGAGTAGAGAACAGAGCAAGACGTCTCATCTCTCGCCTGGACCCATCCTGGATAGATCTGTCATTTCAGCAGAGCCTTCAACATAGGAGGGATGTGGGTGGCCTTACTGTTATGTACAAGGCCAATATTGTCAAAATACCTCACTTGGATCCACTTCGAGGACAGCGTGAAACAAGCTTTTATGCCACAAGACGGGCAGAAAGCAGCAACTTCACTCTGGCTGTACCCTTCTCCAGAACATCACTCCATCTGAGATCATACATACCCAGGATGACTCGAGTATGGAACACATTCGTACAGCATAATGATGTCAACGAGATAAAGTCAGTTGATCAAATGAAAATGCTGGCCCACAGATGGCTCCAACTTCATCCTGTTCCCTACTTGTATGTCTCATAATAAAAATGCTTTCAAATGAGCTGATGTAGGTAACAGCTCTTAGCTTGCCAATAAAGTTAGGAATCCTTAACCTGTAATATAGCTAGGGATCCTTAACCTTGTCAAACCCTGTGTAAAAAAAAAAAAAAAAAAAAAAAAAAAGAGAGAGAGAGAGGGAGAGAGAGAGAATAAATGAATATGAGTGGGACCAACTTGAGACTTAATATCGTGAATGTTTGATCGTATAAAGTTGAGTGAGGTTTTTCGCCAGTGTGTATCCAACGTTCGCTGCCTCCCAGATAACTCTTCTTTCACTTCTCCACTCACTCCCTCCATTCCTCCTTGGTTCTACCCTTCCCACTTCCCCTGGTTCTACCCTCCCCGCTCCCCTCAAGCCTAACCTCCCTCCAGTCCCTTTGGTCCTACCCTACCCATTTCCCCTGGCTCTACACTCCCTATTCCCTTTGGTTCTACCCACCCTCTACGCCTCTTGGCTCTACCCTCCCTCCACTCTCCTTGGTTTTACCCTCCTCACTTTCCCTGGATCTACCCTCCTCACTTTTCCTGGTTCTACCCTCCCCGCTCCCCTTGGTTCTACCCTCACCACTTCCCTGGTTCTCTCCTCCCCACTTCGCCACCCAGGTCACTAAGAATTCCCTGAGTCAACAAAAGACTGTTGATATCTCCAAACTCAAAATTCTCGTCCCCACCAGCCTTCCTAACCCCTCCCGGCCCCACCTCTCTGCCCGCCCTCTGGTCGCGCCAGTCCTCCCGCCCTACCCCTCTTCCCATTCCGCTCGCCTTTCCCTTTTGCTCGTTCTCCTGCCTCGCCCTCCTTTCTGCTCTGCCTTTCTTTATGTCCCGTCATTCCCGCCCTACTGTCCCGTTCTGAGCTCAAATTTGTATGATCATTTCATTTTATTAATTATTATTATTATTATTATTATTATTATTATTATTATTATTATTATTATTGAGCGCTGAATCCGCAACTCAGTACCCAGAGAATACGAGTACAGTGTGATTTGATCAAAGAGAAGGGTAGGTTAAATACCCTGGATCAAGAGCCCTCTGTTCGCATTAAGGAAAACCTCTGAAATCAAGCTAATCGAGACCATGGGACTTGTACGCCTCTCCAGGCTGGGACACTGACCACCTCGAAACTACTGCAAGACTGAGGGACTGACCACCTCAAAGCTACTTCAAAGCTGGGGGACTGATAACATTTTTTCCTCTCCACTGCTTCTGTCTCTAATTTTAGTCACCTCTGTATTCGACTGAAGAAGCCTGCTGTGTAGGCGAAGCGTTTCGGCAGTGAAATTACCAGACTGTTGCAGATGTGTCTTACACAGCGGCGGCGTGATGCTTCTAGTTCAGTGATTCAAGAGGGAGGGAGAGGGGGAGAGGTCGATGCTGAAGAGCTCTTGATCCGAGGAACTGGATCTCCCTTCCACTCTTACCTGGAATGGAGCCAGATTGCTTCCCAGTCCCGAGGCTCTGACCGCTACGACTGAGAGATGGGAATGCAAGGAGCTTGTTAGTGTGTTTGGTGAGCAGAACGAGGGGAAGACATATTGAGGCTTCCCTTGCCACTTCCCCTCGTCCTCACCCCTTGCCACCTCCAGTCGTCGCCACCCCTTCCCACCTCCCCTTGTCCCCACCACTTCCCACCTCCCCTCAGGCTGCATTATCTTCTAATTTCCCTTTTTTTCATAAAGAGGGGAAAAGAAATATTATAATGTGCCGTGCTTGCTTTAGGGAGCGTTGTGAGGGGTGAGGGGAGAGAGTGGGGTTTTGGGTGACGGCTGGGAAAGCGAGTGGGTGTGACGACAGTAGAGACAGAATGGGTAAGATAAGAATGAGAGGCGTAAGTTTTTTTTTTTAAGATTTTGAACAGAGGGGCGAGTTTACTGGACAGTGCCACTTGTACTGAGGGTGGAGTTTACAGGACAGTGCCACTTGTACTGAGGGTGGAGTTTACTGGACAGTGCCACTTGTACTGAGGGTAGAGTTTACTGGACAGTGCCACTTGTACCGAGGGTGGAGTTTACTGGACAGTGCCACTTGTACCGAGGGTGGAGTTTACTGGACAGTGCCACTTGTACTGAGGGTGGAGTTTACTGGACAGTGCCACTTGTACCGAGGGTGGAGTTTACTGGACAGTGCCACTTGTACCGAGGGTGGAGTTTACTGGACAGTGCCACTTGTATCGAGGGTGGAGTTTATTGGGCAGTGCCACTTGTACCGAGGGTGGAGTTTACTGGACAGTGCCACTTGTACCGAGGGTGGAGTTTATTGGGCAGTGCCACTTGTACCGAGGGTGGAGTTTATTGGGCAGTGCCACCTATCCTGTGAGCGGAGGAACTGTACGCACAGGTGACTCATGTATTGCTTGGAACGTAAACGAGGAAGGTACATTATTCACTATTCGCACCAGTCTCAGACCAGGCGTCGTAGTTGTTGGCCTGATTAATCAGGCTGTTGGTTCCCTCCACCTGAACCACAGCCTGGCTAATCAGGAATTGATATCTGGAATTTATTAATTCCGTTTTGAAGACACACAGATGTTGTTGGTACTTCCTCTTATACAAGGAAGATGTTAAAAAAATTTAATCATTTCACACTTGAGTTCTCTCTCTGTGTACTCATCGGAGATATCCTTACAGCGTTTGCCAAGTCTCTTATTTTCAGATACAGTGATATCGGTGAGCAGATTTGGTTCCAATCCCTCCAGAATCTTCCAGGTGTAGATTATGATTTATCCTTCTCGCCTACGTTCTGAAGAGTACAGTTCGAGGGAAGCCTCAAGCGGTCCCAGTAATTTAAGTGCTTGACTGAGTTTATATGAACAGTATAAATTCGCTTTCCTTGAAAAGGGCCGTTAGTATATAGCACTATTCTGGTCTACAGAGGACTAGTGACCTGAAAAGTAGGCACCTTGTTTTGAAGGCTCTAATTATTCATCCTATTATTATCACTGAAGTTACAATAACATGTTTGTGTTCATTGAACGTGATATCTTCTGACATTGTCACTCCTAGATCTCTCACATTAGACTTACGTTCTACTTAGTGATCCGTGTTTATCTTGTACTCCGATCTTGATTTTATTTAATCCGTCCGTAATGTCGTAACTGGAACTTGTCCTCGCTGAATATCATAGTAACGTCAGTAGCCCACTGGAACACTTGCTTTACATCTGCTTGAAGGCTTGTTACGCCTGCTATGAACGCCACTCTCATGCAAATTCTAGCATCGTCTGCAAAGAATGATGTAGTGCCATGGTTTATGTCCCTGTCCATGAGACATGAGAATGAAAAAGAAGTGTGGAGAGCACCACGGTTTAAAAAACTTTCCGCTGTAGCTCATCTTATTCTTTGGGTTCTATTTGTTTTAAACTGAAATATACATCTGCCCATTTTTTCACTTATTCTTTTTACAAATATTTTGCGCACTATTGTTCTATGGTCGCACTTGTCAGAGGTCAGTGCACAGTACATCTGAATGTTGATTGTCTTCTGGAGTATCAAAGACTGTCGTAATGGTTCAACAACTGCGACTGGCGACCTGTTCGGAACCCGTGCTGACCTATGTAATTGCTGCGATTTCATGCCATTATCAATGATAATGTAGAATGTTAGGGCCATTGGTCAATAGCATTTTGCATTTGCTTTACTGCCACCTTTGTGGAGCTGGACTATTATATCTGTGTTTCTTTAATGGCTGTGGGATGACTCCAGCGTCCAGACTCCAGTACCATAAAATATTTAAGGCACGTGATAATGGTTTCTTGCAGTTCTTGAGGAATATGGGATTCCAGGAGGCTACGCCTGGATATGGAGTTCATGGATACCTGGAGTCGCTTCCGGAGGTAACCACTCCCGTGGCCCTACCTCAGAGCCGTCCTCTTAGTTGCTGACCTGATCGATCAGGCTGTTAGTACCTGCCGCCCGCAGCCCCACGTGTGCACTACAGACAGGCTGATCAGCAAATGATTTTAGAAAGTTGTCGAGTTCGTTTTGAAGACAGCCAAGGGTCTGTTGGCACTTCTTATTTATGAAGACAGGGTGTTGAAGAGTCGTGGTCCCTTGGCACTTATTGAGTTCACTCTCAGTGGGCTCATCGCATCCCTGCTTTTCATCGGACGTATCCTGTACGGTCTTTCAAGACTTATGTGTTCATATACACTATTTGTTTGACCTCTGTCATCATTACATTTATGGGTAATATTGGATTTGTTCATGTTTCTTCTTCTCATTCTTCTTAATGTTATTATTAAATAGTAGTAGCAGTAGCAACGGAATAAGAAAACTCTTATTGCAATAAAATCGTGGTACTGTATTACAGCAGTTAGAGACAAACTCTAAAATGATGCATTCTTTTAAATACCCTTTTTTATCACTCTGTTTTTGTTTCTCCTGACACAGGGCATGAGACTTCTGCGGGTGCTGTGGGTGGCGGCGGCGTGGGCGGCGTGCGGGGTGGGCGGGGACCAACAGAGGAAGGTAGACCAGACCTTCGCCACGATGCCTTCACACCAGACCGCAGTTCTGGGTTCCACAGCTGTTCTGCCCTGCAGAGTGGTCAACAGGAGGGGGCTGGTCCAGTGGACCAGAGATGGTTTTGGTCTAGGAACTCACAGAGGCCTGGAGGGCTTCGAAAGGTGGGTTACTGTGTGTGTTTGTGAGAGAGAGAGAGAGACAAAAAATTCTTGGGGCCAGATTATTCAACAGAGAAGCACATCCTGTTAGTGAACAGAACACCACGAAAACAGTAACTTACAGACCAAGGTTTACAGGACATCAACTTTACAACATATAATGATCTTACTGTAGCAATTATCTCTCAACACCTTTTTCAAGACTGTAGATATTAAAATCGGGAGGGGTATTTGCATAGATTTTCACTCCATAACTATATTTTCTCCTCTCTCTCTCTCTCTCTCTCTCTCTCTCTCTCTCTCTCTCTCTCTCTCTCTCTCTCTCTCTCCTCCCTTTGTATCATGGGCTCTCATAAGCTCATCATGGCGAGGTGGCAAAGTAGGCCAGAGAATTTCCCCTCTGCTGTCCTGATGCACTCTGCCTCCTCATCAGCCTGCAGTGTGCTCACATTACCCTCAGATGGTGTCCCTTATCCTTCTCCCTCACCCTCCCCTCATCCCTGACCCCCACTCAATCCCCGACACCCTCCCTTCTCTCCGTCACTCACACCACCCCCTTCTTATTCCTACCATTTCCCCTCATTTCTATATCTCACCTTCACCATTCCCCTCACTCTCTCATCCTCCCCCTCTCGCCATTCCCCTCACCATTTCCCCTCACCCTTACCATTTCCCCTCACCCTCTTTTTTCCTGAAATGTTTGTTTGTCACGGAGACGCAGAGCAAATAATTATCATTGGTGCTTCCTGTGTGTCTCTTCCCCTCACCTCCCCTCCCCTCTCTCCTTCCATCACGACACTCTCACCCCTCCCCTTCTCTCATCCATTCCTCTCCCACCACCTTCCTCTCTCTCTCTCTCTCTCTCTCTTCTCTCTCTCTCTCTCTCTCTCTCTCTCTCTCTCTCTCTCTCTCACACACACACACACACACTTGTCCCGTCTCACCCCTCTGTTTTCTCACTTCTCTCTCTCATCTTCTCTCCCATCTCTCATTTATTCCTCACCCCTCCCGTCATTCACTCCTCCCTAGTAAATTCTACCTCTCCCCTCTTTTACGCTATCCCTCCACTACTCATTTATATCTCCCCTCTTACTCTCTTCCTGTCTCTCTTTCTATTCCTTACACTCCTCTTCTTCCCGCTTTCCAGCTTCTCTGGCCACAGTGTGCCCCCCTCCCTTCTTATCTTGTCCTATCCTGTTCTCTTATTCTGTGCTCTGAGTTTTTTAGATGAATTTTATTTATAACTCTCTCTCTCTCTCTCTCTCTCTCTCTCTCTCTCTCTCTCTCTCTCTCTCTCTCTCTCTCTCTCTCTCTCACACACACACAATGTGTGTTTTATCTTCATTAAATTCACCTTGCGTTTGGCTCCCCCATCGCAGACCATCTTTCTGATTACCTCCCATGTTTCCCCTCAGACTAGCGGTTCATGAGGGCACTTGCCGCTCCCCTCACCCTACTCAATACCCCAATATGTCTCGCCACCCCTCTGGTCAAGGAATATATAAATATATTTTTTTTTTTAGATGTAACCTTCCCTCAGGTTATCGATAGTATCCTCCTTTTCCCCTCACCTCAGGTGAACTATCCCCTTGTGGCACAGGTGATGACCCCTTGGCATGGCTCCCTCATCCACATGGTGAAGAGGGTCTTCCACCTTAAGGAGATTATCTTCGTTCTCCCTGATGGACTGATTATCTCAAACTTATCATGATCCCTCAAGGTCACTATGGCACTGCCTGGGCCACCTATCCTGGTTCTTGGTCTCTCACGGTCACTGACACTGTCTGGGCCACCTATCCTGGTCTTTGATCCCTCAAGGTCACTGTGGCACTGCCTGGGCCACCTATCCTGGTCTTTGATCTTTCAATGTCACTGTGGCACTGTCTGGTTCACCTATCCTGGTCTTTGATCCCTCAAGGTCACTATGGCACTGTCTGGTTCACCTATCCTGGTCTTTGATCCCTCAAGGTCACTGTGGCACTGTCTGGTCCACCTATCCTGGTCTTTGATCCCTCAAGGTCACTGTGGCACTTCCCGGGTATTGGGGATCACTTCTCAAGTGAATAACCAGATAAACGATTCAAAATATACTTTTCCTTTCCTCCTTCTCCTGACCTTCCATCCCTTCCTTTCTTATTTTTCCATTCACTCCTTCATGCACATCACATGATACTATCTGTAATTTTTGAAGGGGGGGGGGGTTATGGGTAAGCCGGCAGAAGGCCTCAGTCATATGACCAAAAACTCCAGTTAGCGTATTCTGCGTCAGGATATGTTTGTCTCGTTTCCTGACGAGTCAAACACCATTATCGGCTCCCCCTTCCCACCGCCTCTACCTGTAGCACGGTACGTCTTCCCCTACCTCTGAAGCGCTACCCGCTACCTGACACATTCTTTGCCTCTTCTATAGGTATTCGATGATCGGAGCTGACGAGGAGGGCGACTTCAGTCTCAGAATCTCGCCGGTGACGCTGGAGGACGACGCAGAGTACCAGTGTCAAGTGTCATCGGCGACGGAACTGCCGCTACGCTCGCAGGTGGCGCGTCTCACCGTGTTTGTGCCGCCCCAGCCACCATCTGTTGACCATCCCAAGGTGGCCACCGCTGGTGTGCCGCTCACCCTCACCTGCTCCAGTAGCGGCGGGAGACCTGCACCAGAGGTAGGTGGTGACGATGTTTTGGTTATCAGGTAGGTGGTAGTAGCGATGTTTCACTCGTCAGATAGATTGTAGTAGCGATGTTTCATTCGTCTGGTAGGTGGTAGTAGAGATGTTTCGTTCATGTAGGTGGTAGTAGCGATGTTTGATTCGTCAGGTAGGTGGTAATATTATTATTATAATCAAAAAGAAGCGCTAAGCCACAAGGGCTATACAGCGCTGTGTAGGTGGTAATAGCGATGTTTCATTCGTCTGGTACGTGGTAGTAGCGATGTTTCGTTCGTCAGGTAGGTGGTAGTAGCGATGTTTCCTTCGTCAGGCAGGTAGTGCCGATGTTTTGTTCGTCAGGAAATAGCACTAGTGAGAACCATGATAGACTCGGAGAAGTAAATCAAATGATTTCATAAAAAAGCTCCATACGTCTCCTAGAAGGCATTTAAGTATATTATTTCTTCTCCTACCAACCCACTGTTTACAAGAATACATTAGAGCACTTTTGTTGAAGTTTTTCAGCTGTATACAGTTACAAAATTTGTGGGAATATATGTTGTGAAATGTCTCGGGCTCCTCAAGCTGTCATTGAGGACCCTGGGATGGACCAGCTATAAACCATCTGGCTCACAAAGCCGAGTCGCTGGAAAAGACAGGTGGCAGCCTTTAGGTTTCAAGTGGCTTCGATACACCTGCAACCCACTTTTTTCTTAGAACTCCTGGAACCCTTTTTCCCCTTAAGCTAAAGGGTCTCTGCTCCTACTGGAACGAAGTGGTACTGGTGGACCAAGTGCCTATACTTGCTGAACGTTATGCGACCCCATTCTAGTTTAGTTCTTCCCTGTGATCGGCAGCGATGCGACACCAGGATTATATATGATCCCATCGGGAAGACTAGCAAGTGTATCTAGGTTGCCCGGACAAAGATCAAGATTTTCTCTCGACTGAGCACTGAGCTTTAGCAAAATTTCTCTTAATGATCTCGTTACCTTCAATGTGTGTCACGTTATCCTTTTGACCCGACAGAGTTCGGATCACGCAGACCATATTGTTTAACTGCCACTCTGCCACAGATGCACCTGTGCTAATACGTTTGTGTCAAAGCATAAAATATTTATCCAATTACATAAACCATTTAAATGGACAATAGGATATTAAATTCTTGCACTATTGAAGATAAATGTAATTAATGGATTTTGAAATCAAAAAAATCTCCAGCTTATTGATGCCAGAGTTCAGGTTGGTGTTGAACAAGAGATCATAATATTGCACTGATCAGTTGCATCTTCATGACTTGCTGCCGACAATGGTGAAGAAAAGATGTAAGTTGCAGAACAAGCTTTTATTGAGATAATGTATCTGTCTTGAATTTAGACCTTCATCAAGACCTGATGATGATATCAAGATCGAAACGTTACAGTAAAACCTTCTTGGACAGACTTTCCTTCACAGTTTCACAGAAATAAATTTGTTAAAACAGTAATCTGGCATCAGTCAAGTCTACATTGTATCCTGTAAGAAGGAACAGCCTTCTAGCTATTTATTATATCGTATCTACGTCGTTTCAACCTATTCTCTAAAACGTTTTCCCATATCGTCCTATTCAAAAGCCATCATTATTATTATAATCAAAAAGAAGCGCTAAGCCACAAGGGCATCAAAAGCCATCAACATTTGTAATAAAATAAAGGTGCCAGGGTTATATTACGTTGCAGGAAGGACTCTCCCAGCTAGAGAATTTAGATGTAGCAGACGTGAGTCTGATCTTACGAAGTCTCGAATGTCTTAGCAGAGTTTTCACAGTGAAATTAAATAACTTGTTCCTTTTATAATTTCATTATTATTAATAACAATTATCAATTATTAACATTATCATTATTATCATTGGGAAACGCTAAAACCATATTATTATTATTATAATCAAAAAGAAGCGCTAAGCCACAAGGGCTATACAGCGCTGAGCTAAAACCATAGGGATATATCAGCTGTGATGGGAAGGGGGTAAGGCACCTTCATTTCCTTGGATCAAGAGCACTTAAACATCAAGGCAGCCCTTCCAAACAGTTTTCGCCTTTTGCTTTCGCTTATTTTTCAGAGAGATTCATTCTCATTAGTGAGGAATTTTTGTCAAACTTGGCACTTGTACTCGAGTGTCCTCCTCTTAAGAGCTGCCTTGCTGCTACTGAAGGGCTCTTGATTCCAGGAGTTGGAGCTACTCTCCCTGTACTCGGAATGAACCTGCTTCCTATTCTTCATATGCCAAATGATCCCTATGGATTTAGCGCTTTTTCGTAAAACAACGTAGAAAAGAATAGTAGTAATAATAATAGTAATAATAATAGTAATTGTAGTAACAGTAGTGGTAGTAGCTAGTAATAGTGGTTGTTGTTGTAGTAGTAGTAGTTACAGTCATAAATGCAATCTACTGTATGTGATAGATCCAGTGGCTGGACGGGACGGGGGCGGAGATCCACACGGGCGTACACCTGTCGCAGGACCTGATGGATGACGAGAAGCGCGTCAACGCCCACGCCACCCTCACCTTCACGCCCACGCGCCACCACCACGCCCGCACCCTCACCTGCCTCACCCACAACCCCGCCCTACACACACCCCTGGCGGCCAAGGTCCGCCTCAACGTCGAGTATCCACCCGAGGTGCAACTCGTTTTCTCTCCAGGTGAGGTGACTTCGTAAGGCGACTTCGTGAGGTGACCATCTAGGAGGTCACCTCATTAAGGGGCTAGAGATAAAATTTCAGGTGACTTTATTTAGGTGATCTAGGAGTCGCTAAATGCACGTGGATACAGCGTCAGGGAAATGGGAGGTAAATCAGGTTTGATCCGAGGGAGGAGAGGATAGCTCTAATCCCTTGGATTAAGAGTCCTTTGCTAGCATCTAGACACCCCTCTCTTCCCCCTCCCTCCACTCCCCAAGTAATAACTACTGAACCTATAGTGTAATGCTTGACGATATCCCCCATAGTGGAATGCTTGATGATATCCTATGCGGGGTCAGCAGGCCTCCAGCAGTAACAACCTGGTTGACCAGACAAGTACCAGACGAGCCAGGCCTATGGCCGGGCTCCGACAGTAGCGAGACTCTCGAAGCTCATCAAAGGTATCCTCATAGTGGAATGTTTGATGATATCCTCATCGCCCTACTAAAGTCTGCCAGTTCAGGCTGACACAGATCATCGTTCATAAAACCATCCAGTTATGACATGTGTCAGGGAAACACAAATGACTTTCGCTATCATAATGTAAACACAGTAGGTTGGTCACACTGCTGACGTTCCCACGTTCCACGTTCCTCCTTTAGGAACGTATATTCAGTATTTTTTAAGTGATTCTGAACGGCTATTTCGGAACTTTCTCTATTTTTTTTTCATCATAAGTGTGATACATAAACTTATAAGTATATTTAGAAATAAATGTATAAAAACATATGTGACGTCTGGCAACGGGTTGGTAGAGCAACTCTCGGATACGTTGAAATTTTCACGAAATAGGGACACAGCGGGAGGAGTTCCAGAGCTCAATGACCCCACGTAGGTTTAGCACCTCAAAAAAAAGTACATCACTCATGTTAAAAGAATTTAGCTAAAAATAAAAAAATCTTTCTTTTCTAGACGAGTTATCCGAGGGTGTGGAAGCCTCCGTGACCTGCCGAGTAGAAGCCAACCCGGGAGATGTGACCTACCGCTGGTTCAGGGGAGGTTCGGAGGTGGCGGGTGCCCAAGGGGGCACTCTCACCCTGGGGGTCCTCTCTCGCTCTGACAACGCCTCACCCATCGCTTGCGAGGTCACCAACGCTGTCGGTACTACGCGCAAGACACAAACACTCAACGTCAAATGTGAGTAGTAGAATAGTAGTACTAGGATAGCAATAGAAGTAATAATAGTAATGTAAGTACGAGTAATAGTAGAACTAGTAGTATCGGTACCGGTAGCAGTATTAATTACAGTAGTAGTAGTAATAATAGTAATAACAATAGTTGCAATTGATGCAATAATAGCATTAGTAATAAAATAATAGTGCTAGTAATAATGTTGGTTGACTATCCAAACTTGTGTGTGGGAAGAAAGCAGAAGTTGTGTTGCAGTCTGCTGCAAGAAACACACTTACACAGTGGCCAGCGCCCCCTGAGGGAAGAACCTAGCAAGGATGGTCTTGTGCTGTTAATAACACAGAACTCACTTCCCCATGACTCCCCTTAGTCACAAGAACGTGTGTACACGTACACACACACACAACACACACACACACACACACACACACACACACACACACACACACACACACACACACACACACACACACGTGACGGCGTCACGGGTAGTCACATTTATGCAAAAGAACATTTACCATCGAACACATTTCGTGTAGATAATTTATCGTCCCACTGAATGTGAATACATAATTAATTTTAACACTTAGACGTATCCTTTGCTTGGTTAAGAAAATAGTGTGAGAAAGAGAGCGAGAGAGTGTACTCACCTAGTTGAGGTTGCGGGGGTCGAGTCCAAGCTCCTGGCCCCGCCTTTTCACTGGTCGCTACTAGGTCACTCTCCCTGAGCCGTGGGCTTTATCATACCTCTGCTTAAAGCTATGTATGGATCCTGCCTCCACTACATCGCTTCCCAAACTATTCCATTTCCTGACTACTCTGCGTGTGCGTGCGTGTGTGTCGTGTGTGTGTGTGTGTGTGTGTGTGTGTGTGTGTGTGTGTGTGTGTGTGTGTGTGTGTGTGTGTGTGTGTGTGTACACCTCCGTAGAGATTTTTCAAGTAATAAATGTCAGTCTGTAAACCGCAAACTTGCACACAAATAAGACCAATGTACACAGAGTTAAGCAGCGGTAAGATAACAACAGAGAACCACATCTATCTTGGTGCTTTGTGAGTGGCATTGTCTTGGCCCAGTAATTTGTTGTACATGCTTTTGTCGATTGAGGATAATGGATGAGAGAGAGGGAGAGAGAGACCTTGACTAACACTGACAGACGCAGAAAACATCAGACATATAAAAAGCAGACAGGATGAAAAAAAAAACATGTAAATATATTTTAGAGAGGGATAGCTAGATGAAGATGCAGACTGACGCAGGAACCAGTACTCGATCCCCGAAAACACACATCGATGAGTACAGAGATTATGTCCATTGTTTAGCGACGGATAGACAGACTCAAGCTAGACAGATGGCCAGACGCACGCACACACACACACACACAGCTAAGTTGAAACAGCAAGAGAAATAAAGATATAACAGGACATTAAAAAGACAATTGCAGACAGACACAAGCAATTAGAGATGTGTTTAACCTGGTAGTGAGAGCTTGTATGATGGTAATACCTGGGTTGGTGGTGATATATGACGTGCGGTGCTGGTGATGCTAGTTGTGTTGTTGATTATTACGTGTGGTGGTGGTGGCGGTGTTGATGTGAGATAGTGGTGGTTACTGGTGGTGGTGGTGGTGATCGGGGGCTGTGTTACGGTGGTGGTGGTGCTGATAATGGCGTGTGCTGGTAGTGCTTGTGGTGGTGGTACTAATGGAGGGTAGGAGTGGTACTGGTGTAGGGTGGTAATGATGGTGATAGTGGTAACTTTGTTGCTGGTGATAATCGGGGCTGTGTTACAGTGGTGGCAGTGGTGGTAACAAGATAGAGGTAATATATGTAGACACCATTTCAAGTAGATATGCAAATATATAAATAAGCACGCACCAGAGGGGTCAGATATGTTAAGAAAGGAGCCAAATAACCAAGATTACAGGTACTTCCACCTTGTTATATGCAAAACATCATTACAGTCCAGCTAATGTTACTGTTACCTTAGTCGCTCGAATTTCGACTTGAAAACAATGAGACTACTAAATTTCGTGTCAGGAAAATAGAGGCATGCGAACGAATATCATTATTTTTTTAGGCAGATAGTGAATGTACACAGAAAAAACAGCTGAAGTACAAGAATACATCTCAGTGGAATACAACAAACCAGTTTATTACGAAACAGGACCGAACCTACAACAGTGAACGGTACATGCAGTTCTGTTGCAAACAGCGATATGCTGAGGTTGAGAGAGAGATGACAGGAAGCGTAAAACAATGGAAAGCGTCTGTGAGGTTCGACTATTCAACCTGCTGCCTGAAAATACCAGAAATATTGCCGAAATAAAGTTTTGAAAAGGAAACCGGTTCTCTACTTCCGCGGAGTGCCAGATCAACTAGGCTGTGGTGGTAAGGGCCAGCGAGTCACCAACAGCAACAGTCTAGCTGACCAGGAAATCAACAGGGAGACCTTGCTCTGGGCCTGGCCGAGAGTAGGTAAATCATAGGTGGTAGTGATAGTGGTACCAGTGATGGTGGTAGTGATAGTGGTGGTGGTGGCTGTTGTGGTGGTAATGGTGTTGGACGTCGTAGTGGTGGTGTGCTGATGCTAGAAGATGGTGATGAAGGAGGTGGAGGTAGTAGAGAAGCTTCAAGATCTTATCGCCAGCGAGTCCAATCGTCTCATTTGCATACAGGGTGTCCCCCTGTCTCTCCGCCCTCTCCCCACCTGCTACTAGCAGTCTCTACTCAAGTGGTAATGACAGCCAGAAGCAATAATAATTCTCCCTCTCTCTCTCTCTCTCTCTCTCTCTCTCTCTCAACACTGCTGACCATAGCTGTGTTTTCTAAGTCTTTGTGTTACTTTAACTGCGGTGTGATCGCTAATCACGGGCCGTACAGTGCCTGGGGAACGGGAGGCAATCGGGTTTAATCCGAGGAAGTGAAGGGTAGCTCTAATCCCTTGGATCAAATACCTTTCAAAAGTTATCAAAGCAGATTCCCTTCCCCCTTCCCCGTTAATACAGGTATTACACGTACAGCTTTACTGCTCTGTGTTTACAGTCTTAGCCGGCGTTATTAGAATTTGCCTTTATTGCAGCTGCTAGACGTTACTAAAACCAGTATTTGCACTAACGCAACAATATTATCGACATTAGCAATACCACTAAAATCAAAACACTAACAATGCCACCCAAACCAACGACACTAACGAAAGAAGCAACGATATCATTATAATAGTGATGCTATTACTGTTAAGAACAGCCGTATTAAGTTTGTAACAAAAACAAAATCGTCCATCTCCTCAAGCAAAGAACCAGACACGAACGGTCGTTAAACCGAACGTACTGTAGTTGTTCTTGTTCCAGCAGCTGTAAGGTCTGATAGTGTATTTGTTCTTGTTCTAGCGGCTGCAAGGCCTGATAGTGTAGTTTTTCTTGTTCCAGCAGCTTTGGGACCTGACATTGTAGTTTTCCAGCAGTTGCAAGATCTGATAATGTCCTTGTTCATTTTACAACAGCTGTAAGATTTGCCCTGTCCTTGACCTCCTTCCAACCAATGTAAGACTTGTCCTTGTCGTGCCTGCATCCACTAAGATTTAATCATTCGTCTTTTTTCCTCTGACTCCAGATGCGCCTATGTTCTTAGCGGCACCTAGCAGCCAGTCAGCCGAGCCAAACCAGCAGGTGACACTCAGATGTCGCGTGGATGCCAACCCTCCGCCTGATATCACCTGGTCGCGACCCAACGATGCCAAGGTCAGCTCGCTCATTCTTTGTTACTACGTTTTAGGTGTCAACAAAGTTTTGGTTAAAATGAGATGAGATAGTGGTGTCGATAGTGCCAGTGAATACTACTACTACTGCTGTTGATTCTACTACTACTGCTGCTGCTTCTACTACTACTACTGCTGCTTCTACTACTACTACTGCTGCTGCTGCTGCTGCGAATGCTACTACATATGCTGTCTTGTGCTTCTCTTGTTAGTGCTAGCAATAGTAGTAAAAATTGATTTGTAACAATTGTGGTTATGGTAGCGAATAGCAGTAGCAATGGAATTACAGTAGTAGCAGCAATAGTGGTAGTAGCAGTAATAATAGTAGTAGTAGTAGTAGTAATAGTACTAGTAATAGTTAAACTTTATATTATAAAATGTAGTACGGTATAAACAAATACTACATATGTAACACACACACACACACACACACACACACTGTGCAACACTCAGGTTCACAAAAATTATACATCGATTTAAAAAACTAACAAAGAAAGAGTTTCTCATAGCTAAGCATGGTTTTATTATTAAAAAAAATATGACTTTAGTGTATCTAAGTTATTTTCAACTTTTATTCATTAGGATTAAATGAACAGCTGGGACGAATAAGATTTAAAAATAGAAGTAAAGAAACGCAGTAATTATAACTGTGATAGTACTGGTGCTGGTAGCTGTACTAATAGTAATGGTAGTATCAGTAATGGGAATGGTTGTAGTGGCATTTAATAATAATAGCAGTACTGGGCTACTGGTAGTAATGGTAGTATCATTAACAGTAATGACAGTATAAGTAATGGTAGTATTACTAGGGGCAACATTATTGGCGGTAGTAGTAGTAATAATAGTGGTAGAAATGAACTAGTAAACACAGCAGTAGTAGAATAGCAGTAGCAATAATAGCAATAGCTGTGGTAATTCAGTAAATTCCCAGGTACATTGTGTTAGGTTAATAACAGACTACAGATGTTCAAGGTGGCATGTGGAAGCTAAATTCACTCGAGGCGACACACCTGCCAACCACTTAGCACAAAAAACACACGCAAACACCTAAGTCAAACTCAAGCGGCCGACTTGCACCTACGCGCATCCTCAACATACTGTAACACCGAACCTAACACTTCTAACATTCAACACCTGCCTAGCACCTACAACACTCAGAAACATTCCTAACATCATCCAAATCTCTCTAGCACCATTTAACACTACATCCCTCTCACCTAGCTTGTTAATCTTTCAAGTACCCACCAAACACCTATTAAATTCCTCTGACACCTAAGATTCTAGATCCTTTCAATACCTCTAACATCTAACTCTCACCTACATTCCTTTAAATTCTTCTAGCACCCACCCCCTAACACCTACAATACCGTACAACACGCACCTAACGCTCACGTCTCATCCTCGTCAGGTGGTGGGTCGTGGGTCAGAACTTGCTGTCACAGCTACATCATCCAGCGCAGGGCTGTACATCTGCTCTGCTCGGAGCCCTGGTTTCTCGCCCCTGGAAGGCCGGGTTCACCTTCGCCTGCGGGGCCCGCCCTTGATTAGGGCCCAGGCGGTGGTGGCGGTGCCGGAGGGGCAGCCGGCGGTGCTGCGCTGCGGGGTAGTGGCGGTGCCTCACCCCGTAGCCGTCACCTGGACCAGAGAGGGCACAGTATTGGTGACAGGTGAGTCGCAGCTGCTTTCTAACAACAGAGACAGACAGACAGGCAGAGATGCAAGTAGACTGAATGGCTATCTGCATGGTTGTGGGAAGGATGGTAAAGCAGAAAGCTCTCTCCACACCCTCCTCTTCCTCTGGCCATTACCGATATGAGACAGAAAAACATGCCACACCATAATGAAAAAAATAATTTACCGAAGAGATAGTAGCAAATACAAAGCATAGCATACAACTACTTATACTGCGCAGTACTACTACTAGTGTTACCACATCTACTCGTGTCAGTCTGATACCATCCACAAAACCGTATATACCATTAGGTCTATCTCTAGAGTCTAGATACTACTAGTTCAACCTTAAGATATTGTGCTGCAGACGGATACCAATACCCGAGAATCCTGTGCTTCGTACCAAACACCGGGATACCGATGGCTACTGCATGGAGAGGATTTATGACCGGTAGAATCTCAACTTTGCACACTGTATGCCCAGTTGGTTCTTTAAAGATCGTCGAACTGATTCTGCGGTCAGAACTTCCGTGGGGAGACTACTACAGTTCTCTTCAAGTCTGAAAAGAAGCTCCTACTTACATGTTAAGCCTCAAAGCACAAAATGAAGATTATTTCTTTGCAAAGGTTGCAATGTGTAATTATAATTTTGATTTGCTAAGTGGAAAAGCAGTTATCATGCCGGGGCGTCTCTGGGTTCCATACCATTGTTTCGTGTCATTATATTGCACTGGAAAAGAGAGCCTTATACTTAATTAGGTGTAACTTATTTAATATGATGAAAGTATGAATTTGGTCTCGTAGCCTCTGTTTTCTGAAAACGAGTCGGGAAGAAAATATGTGAAGGTAGAGAGGGGTTGAGGGTGGAATGGTCGGAATGGGAAGGGAAGGAGAGATATAGAAGACCAGAAATACAGAAATACTTTATAATGGAGCCGAGGAGAATATTATACTCTAGTTCCAAATGTCTGATCTCAAGGTAGGGCACAGCAATTCAAGATAATTGGACAATTAACTTTAAACGTCTGACCTTGACCTTTGACCGGCTTGGAAGCCAGGAAATTAGAGCTTCTATAAAGCTAGTTAGGTGTTCATCCCCCAGTGGTAATACGTTAAAGCTTTTAGAGGTCCAAAAGTAAGTCAAGTCTCAGATTTTCCTTCCTACGCTTTCGACTAGAAACTTCACAAGTGTTTCCAAATGTATCACATTGTCTTTATGAATATTCTTTTAATAGTAATAATCTTTTTGATAAATTGTAAAAAACAGTATCAAGTGCATTTTTTAGTTTTTTTTCAACTACGATGTAGGGGAGTTTAATATTTTAAA